AGTAGCAGCTCCGGCAACCCTGGCAGCCAAGCAGGAAGGACCCCCCCACAGGTGGTAGAGCGGATGGTGAAGGTGGGGGGGGGTCTTAGCTTCTCCTTCCAAAGATGGTGGAGAGGGGGGGCTGGCCGGCAAGGCCCCCCCACCCCTGACTCAGCAGCAGTGGTAGAAGCAGCAACAGCAGTCTAGGGAGGGAGCTCTAGCCAGCAGCAGCAGCCCAGGGAGTAAGGAAGAGCTCCAACTAGCAGGGCAGGTGGATGGGAGAAGGAGAAGGAGGGAGAGCTCCAGCCAGGAGGGCAGCCACAGAGGAAGCTGAGCACGCTCTGTAGCGGGATGGACACCCACTCCTGCCCTGAAGAGGTTGGAAAAGCCCTGCAGAGGGCTGGGGCTGGGCAAGGTAAAACCCTGGCTGATTTGGGGAAGTAGCTGCAGCTGGGCCACACCCTAATCAGAGCCCAGATGGCCTGTATAAAGACGCTGGGAGCCAAGAGTCTCTCTCTGCCTTCAGAGAGAAGGGCCTGGTTGTAGGGAGCTAGACACAGGGTACCTGAGTGGTGTAGGGCTGGGGAAAGTCTGGGGAGCTCCAGCCTGGAAAGCCCCAGGCTGCAGCCTAGTATTAGGCCAAGGGGTACTGGGGGTTGCAGAGGGCAACCCAGGGCTAGTCCAAGGCAGCAGGTCCAAACCCCCTTTGCTGGTGATGAGTGGCCTATACTGCAGTCTGCCCCAGGGAGCGAGGGCTAGTTGGTGACTGGCAGTGGCCTAGTGCTGAGGCTAGGTGGGGATAGTGGGTGGGGGTTCCCCAGGGAGGGGAGACCCAGATCTGTGGGGTACTGCCAGGAGGCAGCATCCCAGTATTAGGGGTACTGGATCCTGGGAGGGATACAGGTGCCAGAAGAGGACAGGTGGATCACTGGCCTGCAGAGGGCACTCGAGAGGCTGGTGAGCTAATTCCCTGGATGACCAGCAGGAGGTGCCACAGGGGTGAGTCTGGACCTCTTACACTAACCAATCAACCACACAAAGTAAGAACGGGAGTTAGGATAAAGGCAGGAGAGGGGATGTGACAAATCTGGGTGTACATTGATCATAGACCTCTAATAAGTCATCCCAAATTGCTTTGAATTTTTCATGCATTCCCTTTCTCCAGAATGCCAGCCATTTGCTAGCTGTGTGATCAGTCAGATCACCAAGCCAGGCATCAATATTTGATGGGGGTTGACTTTTCCATTGTGGTAGGATTAATTTTTTAGTGCCCAAATCTGTCCACTGGTATCACGCTGCTTTGTTACCAGGGAACCTCCAGGTATCAGGAATAGAATCTGTGACACGCTGTACCTCAAAATAGCTCCCTGTAAAACCCATATGCATCATTCATATATAGTTGTGATATTTCATACAAAGCATGCCATGTACGATATCGTATGAAAGGTCATGATCTGTTGAAACCCCTTGTTCTTTCCAAATATGTGTATCATTAGTGTGTATGAAGTTGAGAATTTTCTGTGTGGTTGTTACTGAAATATGCTATAAATTTGCTAGTGACCTTCAAAGAACTTCCTCCCAGCCCACCCAGGAGGTTGTTCACAGGCCATTAATAAGCAGGGAAGTTGTAATCAAGAGATTTACAATTCAATGAGAGCTGCCCAAACACCACACAATAGGGACTGCTCCCCTCTCTGACCCATTTGCACAAGACCCACCAAGGGGATTGCTCAACCCAGTGACTTAGCAAAGCCCATCAGCACATGTCTGGGCAAGTCTTTTCTAGGCACATGGACTGAGGGTATAAAATAAGGGACAGTGGCATCATTCCTTGGCCTGTCTCCTCCTTCACCTATGCTGGAAGCAACAAGAATGCTGAGAAGATGAAAACTTTAACTGAGGAGGCTGGTCCCAGGCTTCAGGGAGAAGCCTGTGTATGAAGAACTGTAACATCCAGTGGGATGAGAAAATTGTTTGATCTAAATGCTGCCTAGGTAATGAGGTTTAAGATTTAGACTGTGCGCTTACCTTTTATTTTCTTTGGTAACTATCTCTAACCTCTTATGCCTACCATGTATAATCACTAAAATACTATCTTTCTGTAGTTAATAAACCTGTTTTATATTCTACCTAAAACAACTTGGTTTGGTTGAAGTGCTCAGGAAATCTCAGCTCAGGTACAAAGACTGGTGCATGTCCTCTCCGCATTGAGGGAGGGGCAGACAGGGCAATAAAATGAAAATGGCCAGACTTCTGAATAGGGAAAAGAGGGAT